ACTTTATTTTAATTCAATTATGAGAGTTTACTTGTGTTAATATAAAAAATTTTTAAACATTAACTAACTCTTTCAATTTTAAACAGCAAATTAGAAAACTTATTAAACACATTTCAGGTGATGGAAAGGACATATATTTGTGGCATGATAATTGGCACCCTTCAGGGCCTCTAGTTGAAAATTTTGGTGCACGAATTGTCCAAGATTTTGGGTTTTCTTCCCAAGCCAAGCTGGAGGTAGTGATTTATGGTAATTTTTGGAAATGGCCACCAGCTCGCTCACCTCAATTGCTAGACAATCAAATTGCTTTATGTGACAGACTATATCCTAATTAAAGAAAGGGACAAGGATACTGTTATATGGATCCCTTCAGCTTCAAGGACATACACTGCAGGGAGAACATGGCACTGGATCAGAAGTAAGCAATCCAAGGTTCCTTCGCACAGGCTGGTTTGGTTTTCTCGGCAAATACCAAAACATAGCTTTATTAGTTGGCTAGCCATATTAAACAGGTTAACAACCAAAGCAAGGCAGAAGAAATGGTCCCCTAACATAGATGACACTTGTGTCCTATGCAACAATGGATCAGAAACTCTTGAGCACCTCTTCTTTAAGTGTAGCTATGCAAAATGTGTGTGGAAGAGTTTGAGTGCCATGTCTGAAATTCCTTATCTGGATTCTTGGCAACAGCTTGTGTTATGGATGGGGAAACGAATAAGAAGAAAGTCTTTGTGTCAGACACTCATCAAGTTAATGTGGAATGCTGCAGTCTACCATGTTTGGATGGAAAGGAACAGAAGAATCCACCAACATGTCTACAAGATAGCAGATGTAGTGTGTGAAGAGATTTGTTTTGATGTGAGGCACAAAATTTTGGAAAATGCTAGGCCTTTTGCCTCTATTTTAAGTGCATCAATTGCTTTAAAATGGGGTTTTTGAGATTGTTGTATAGAGCCGAGTTTTTTATTTTGTAGTAGCAACAAGTTGCTGCTGAACTTTTTGTACAGATAGTTTCATGGATAAATATAATTTTCACATTTTATCAAAAAAAAAAGACTCTTTCAATTTAAACATGTTTATTAAAAATGAAGAGAACTCTTTTGATTCAAACTAACAAGAATTATTAAGTTAACACACGAATTTGAGAACA